CTGTTGGTTTTCTATAATTATGTATTATTGTATATTTTATTATGAGCCAATACATTTCTCAGCTATGACCTGAATTACACTGATGACCAACTGTAGGTACAGATAATCTCTCTGTGAGGAAAAACATAGTTCCACTACAGCTTTTCATCAGATTCATTTAGGTGTAGTTATGTGGGTTTTGATAGTGAATTGGTTTGATTCTGGTGTAAACCTTGTGTGGTATCCAGCGGTGTAGTTGCAGATTACAACTCCGTCGCTTCGCCTTCGACTTCGGAGCGCAAAGGAGAAACTATACCCACAAAACATGCAAAAGAAAGACAAACGGCCCTATCTAGAGCCAGTGCTTGGTTTGAGTGTTGTGGGCTACTTTAGAAACATGCCGGTTTAACAACTATGTGGAAGGCGACCTGCGGTGTCTGCCTGACTCATTCTTAACGTGAATATACAGATGCAAATTTGGACACGATGATGTGCGATAACAACCGCGTGACAACCTCAGCGTTTCCTATTTAGAGTAATGTGGTCAGGAGAGAACAGCAAATTAGCTTTAACTGGATGTACACTGACATCTACTTCCTTTTATTTCTTCCTAACATTCAAATGAGAAGAGCAGGAAGAGGGACGGTGGGTGCGGATGCAAATCGTCAGAAGGAAACAGTCAAATCGATGCCTGCTGAGTACTCTGACGTGACGTCGATGTCCCAGAGGTTAAAATGGAAGAACATCCAACGTGGCTGAGCTTGTCTGATCGCCAAAGGATCTTCCAAAAGAAGACAAATAGAGAGAGAGAAATAAAGAGAGAGAGAGAGAGAGAGAGAGAGAGAGAGAGAGAAAACGAGAGAAAAGAGTGGTGGAGGGTGTTTGCACTGAATTTGATGCAAATAGTGGACACAAACAGACGCTCTGACGTGGTTCGAACGGAGGCGAGGACACGTCTGCACGCGTCAAACATATTTTAACCTGAGTGGAAATTGTGAACTTATTAAGCTTACTTACTTCCACTGTATGACTCCACCTCAGGAACATACAAACCATTTCTCCTTTATGCAGCCAATTATACTCCGACAGCAGCATATAAACTACGATAGCGTCTCCTGTTCGTTATTGGTTAACAGCGTACATTTGCATATTAACCAAAGTTTAACTTAACAAGTGAAGTTTGATCGCAGCACTTACATTAAGATGAACTGATGTTGTAGATGTAACACAAGTTTACAGCTGGTTTGAGCAGTCCTTTAATATAGAGTGTGGTTTAGTCCTTAAAACAAACAATAATTTAATTGAATTTGGTGCAGGTTGTTTTTATAATGCCGAACTGTGTTTCCTTCTTATAAAAGCAACAAGCAGCCGATGATAGAGAGGCTGATGGAGAGACACAGAGCTGGAGAAAACATTCTGCCTGGTGCAACACGTTTTGGAAATTCCCACAAATGTGTGTGAGGGATCGTGTGTGAAGGTGTGTGTGTGAGCACATGAGAGTAACGTTAGCCAAAGATTGTCAAAACAAACCAAGATTAGAATGTGTTGACTGTATGTTGCTCTGTGGGTGAACTGTGGTCAGTGGAGGTCCCCAGAGGATGAATCCCACTGACCCACAGGGACCTGTACGGCTGTGTATCCATCCACATTAGTTGCTGAGTTTTGGAGATATCGGCCGCAGAGACGTCGACCTTCTCTCCAATATAATGGAGCCAGATGTTACTTGGCTTGTGAAATTAAACTCAAGATAATCTGTGTTGTTGTGAGCAGTTTCATGGAGGAACTATTTTCTTTCTACCGAACTACACCCGCCAACCGTAGCTGAACGTTCGCTCTCTCAGTGGTGCGAGGTGAGCTAGCTAACGTTTACATCCTGTCACAACCCTCTCGTTCCGTGAGCAGATGCACGCTTCCTTCGGCGCAGTGATACGTAGAAAGAAAATAGTTCCTACATGAAACGGCTCACAACAAGGAGAGCGGAAAGCTGGCGGACGGTGAGGAGATATTCCCTGAACTCAAACAGAAGTGTCACATAAGATAAGATAAGATAGAGTTTATTGATCCACACTGGGGGAATTCACTTGGTCCAGATACAACACACTATAATCAATAAGAAAATTCACAGTAAATGAAAATAGAATAGAAAATAAGAATAGGAGTTACATGTACGGACTGGATTCGCATTACTTAGAATCACTTACCTCACATTTAACCCTAACCGGACCAGATTTTAGTCCCAGGTGGGAGGAGAGTCCCAACAATGTAGTTATTAATAAATGTTTGCACACACACACACACACACACACACACACACAGGAATAAGCAAACAGAACCTTTCTGAGCGCCTGCAGGGAAGCACGTACACTGTTCTCGCTCAGCATCCCACAGCAGCCGAACGTACTCACCCTGTGGAGCTGGACTCAGTTTCAGTATGGCACTTTACCCTCCGCCTGTGTTTGTTGTTGCTCTGCAGAGTCTGAACAAACAACTCAAGTCCACCGCAAAGATTTCTCTGTCTGCTCCTCAGACCGGTCCAACTCAGACACTGCACTGTAGAAATACTCGAGTAAAGGATTGCATTCAAAATGTTACATAAATAAAAAATACTTAATAGTGAAATGTTAGTGTTATATTATTTTATTTCATAGACTGTTGTTGTTACTCCATATATAATGTATAATTGTAAAAAGTGCTACGACCTGAAAACTAACTGCCAGATAAATGTAGTGGTGTATGTATGTAAGATGTATGAATATGTGTTTGTGTTGGAATGTGTGTGTGTGTGTGTGTGTGTGTGTGTGTGTGTGTGTGTTGTATTAGTCAGTATTTTCCGTCACCTGTGAGTGTGTTTTTCCCTGCAGGAGAGGCCGACAGGCAGCGGCTTGTCTGTCGGCCTCTGTATGAATGTCAACACACACACACACACACACACACACACACACACACTCACTTACCAGAAGGTCATCCTCTAATAACCGATGGAGTAACTGTTTTTATTTTGATGATCTTTTTCCTTTTCTTTTGCAGAGGTCAGAGGTCAGTGACCCTGACGCTGGCAGTGGTTCAGTGTCTTTCTCATGAAACTTGTTTCATATCGTATGTAACACAAAACTGCTCTCAGTGGTCGAATGTAACTAAATACTTTTACTCAAGTAAAGTAAGAGAAATATTGTATTTTTACTTCACTACATCTACAGAGGAAGTTCAAACACTTTATCAGGGATCTGTATTTATGTACATTCCTTGTATGTGAAAACCTATTTGGCAATAAACCCAGTTCTGATTCTGATTCTGTCCACAGGGGAATTAACACAGAATGAAAGCTTCAGGTAGGGACTTTAAGTAAAAGATGGGAATACTTCCTCCACCAGCGACTGCTTTGATAACTTGAAATCGACACCCTGCGAGCTTTGTACTAAAGACCCTTGTCTTTCCTCCACATTTATTCCAAGTTCGAGTTTCTTTACTGTTTCTTCTTTCATCACATCCAGCTCCTGCTGCAGTTTGTCTCCTGCCCTTCCTTTGTGTCAGTGACAGCAAACAGCAGACAAAGGCACAGGTGAGTCCCGGGAACGAGGGACAATGAAGGAAATCTGACTCCTGGAATGTCGTCAGAAGGGCTTGGAAAGTCACGATGTGGCTTCATAAACCACAACACTGAGGATCAATGCATCAACTACTGTACAAGTCTGAGGCACTTGAAACGTCTACTCCACATACATTTCAGACTACATTTCTTTTATCTTTATGCACATTCAGATTTTAATACAAAATCTAATCTAAAAATAACATTTGATGTATTATTAGAAACTACCCAGCAGTATACAAAGTAATTAAAATTCTAACTGTTTTCACATTAAGGAACACTTTATTAATAATTAGGAATCCATCTGAAACATAATGAGATAACTTTACAGCTCAAACAGCCAGTGGTCTACAGCTAGCAGCAGGCTAACAGGAAATGATGTAGAATGTAATTACCATGTTTGTATGTGATGGATATTGATGTGATGGATATTGGCCTCGCTGTTTACTGTTCACTCTCCTGCAGCCGTATCAGAGCCGGATTAATGCTAACACTTATCTTAACTGGATGAACATGGGTTGGCCTTTAATCGGGGCAGTAAGGACAGAGGGGGCTGGATGCTGTACAGAATGTAAAACCCCTGAGGCCACTTCTGATTTCTGATTTTTGGGCTGATATAAGTAAAAATTTGACTTGACTTTTATTGTGAAACAGCCAGAAATGTATTTGTCAGAGGTGAGCTTCGACCACGATTGGTCATCAACGTGAACTCACCGCCTGCTGCTGTGTGGAAAACTACGATCAGACTGACTTCATTAAATCAATCGGAGTTTGTTTGGCTGCACTGTAAACAGTCACTGCAGCTGCTCTTACGTCGGCTTTCTGACTAAGTAGCTGCTCAGCAAGTGTTTACTGTAGTCGTAAACCACACCTGCTGTTACCACGGCAACCATAGGTGTTGCCAAATCAACCTGGATTAAAATCTTAACGAGCCAGACATGTATTATGACACAAATGGTCTGCTTGGAACAAAACTGTGTGTCTGATAATGAAAAGTATTAAAATCATTAAAAAGTTCTCTACTCTTCTTCTTCTTCTACCTCATTACAACATACAGAATCTATAAATATGCAAATTGTGTTGATTTCCACTTGTGTCGCGGATGGAAAGTCCACTCTCAGTGTACGTGCACTGGTGGATTGACTATTTGTGATGTCATAAATCATGCTCAGAGCCCCCCCGCCCCACTTTCAGCAAATGAATGTGAAAGCATCCTTCTGTCAAACTATTTGCCTCGAGGGGAACTTTAAAGGATTATAACTTGTGAAACTTCCTGTTGTGAAGACACGGACAGAATAATTGAACATATGGTGTGATTATGTGTTTATCCTTTTCCATCCATCCAGTCCTCGCATTGACTTTGGATGTAATCTCATCTTTCCACGTGATATTCTCTCAGAAAACAGATTGTAACCAAAAAAAAGGACAAAGACAGTTTTAAAATGTTAATGTGCATAAAAATAGCTTTATTTCCAATAATAAATCAGAACCTGCATGCAGAAACCAATGATTCATTGGCTTCTTCACTCCATTGGTGATTCACATGTGGTGACATTAAGCAGCAGAACATATGTATCTCTCCCATGCTCACTGACCAGACCTGGAGCTGATTAACACTTGAAATATGCAATTTATTTTTTCTCTCCTGACCTGGAAAATATTCTCACTCCCTAAAAATAGACGAGTGAAATTGTTTCTCTAATCAGAGTTTCTCCTCCGTCTGAGGTCGAGGTCAGCTGATACTCGCAGACATTCTTTAAGGAAACATGCATCAGTATTTTCCTGATTAGCTTCAGATAAGACCTTGAACCAGTGTCGAGACATTTCGATAACTGGGTGGGAGCTCGTGCAGACGGGGGACCTTGAATTGCTCAAATATCCGTGTCAGCAAATTTATCCATTTTGGCTACAAAGATTCAAAAAGCAACTGTAATCAACCCAGGTCTGCTACTGACAACATGGCTCATCAGCACAACATCCCCTGAACGACGAGATGAACACCAGCAATCCTTCTACAGACACAAACATAAATACAAAAGCAAAAAAACAACAACAAAAAAAAAAGAAGTCTAAAAAGATAATAGAAACTCTTACAAAATAAAAAGTTTCAAAACTATTTGCCTCTGAAAATCTCAAACTAGTGTATATAAAACTTTTTTTAAATCACATATACAACAGCTTAAAAAGGGGGAAAACACCCCAACCTGAAAGAAGGCAATAAAATAATTTGACAGTTAAATTAATACAAAAAAAATAAAAAGGGAACAAGTTGATCTACTGGAGGAAAAAACAACAACGAGAGGAGTTAGTATTAGCATCGGTAGTATCAAAACATTTACATTTACAGTAAATCACAGGAACGTTACTGCTCGGGGAAAAACAATCACAAAGAAAACAGGAAAAACAATTTGGCATTTAAATATTTGGTAGATATTTTTGTTGCCAGGATGTGGCTAAGTACCAAGTTTATATTTTTTTTTGTGGTTTTTCTCTTTATTATTTTTATCTAATGACTATATACAAATCCTTGGCAGAGCAGTCTGTGTGCTGCTGTCTCTAAGAAATGTGAGCATCCAACCTGTTCATCATGGCTTTAGTGAGTGCTCGTAGACCCCATAATGAAAATAAAACTAACAACAAACTGTCGGTGTAGCTTATTGAGAAAGCATCAACCCCATGATTTAAAAAAAAACAACAGAAAGTACCAAAACTACCAGTTTCTCCGATCACAGAGCTTTCTTTTCATTGGACAAAAAAATAGCAACATTTACTGGATTCATGAATATATATATATATATTAAAAAATGTTTTTACAAGTCGATGAAGAAGTATGTGTGCACCTTTAAAGGTCGGGCGTCAAGAGGAACGCTTCACTCTCATACCTATCCATAAATTGTGAAACTGGTTAGCTTAGCTTAGCATAATGACTGCAACCAGGGGGAAACAGCTAGCCTGCACAAAAAACTGACATTTCTCCATTTTAAAAGGGATTATGTGTGCGACTGTTTCTTGGCTGGGAGCAGTAACTTCCTGGAGTCTCTGCTCTGTCAGAGCCAAGAAATAATTTGGTGCTTAATCACATCAAATGAGGAATTGATGACGAGATATCACGAGCTCAATTAAAACGTACAAACCACGTTCGTGTCAAGCTCCAAGTATCGACACTCAAATGTTTAAAGTTCAGATAGATTTATCTTCAGTGCTTCATAACAGTAAAGTACCTGACATTTAAAAATGGAATTATATTGCTAATGTACAGTATCGTTAACTCCTAATAATCATGTCTTAAGTTGTTTGACCGAGCCATGCTAGCAGCTTCCCTTCGTTTCCAGTCTTTATGCTAAGCTAAGCTAAATTCATATTTAACCGTCAGATATCAAGAGTGGCAACGATGCTCTCGTCCAGCTCTCGGCCACAAAGCGAATTCCCCAAAACGTCTAACCGACCTTTAAGCTTAAAAAGTTACAGTGAAAGAGGGTCAGCAGCTGCAGGCGCTGTTCAGTCTGTCACATGACCGAGCTCCGAGAGTGTGTGTGTGTGTGTGTGTGTGTGTGTGTGTGTGTGTGTGTGTGTGTGTGTGTGTGTGTGTGTGTGTGTGTGTGTGAGTGAGAGAGAGGAATGTAGGTGTGTCACCCTGTAGGAGCATGTTGCTTTGACTCCAGTCGAGTTCACCATAATAACAGAAAAACAAACCCTGGAGGCACAGCGGTAATTATTATAGTGGTAAAACATCTTCCAGGCTTTTGAAGTACTCTCCAAAACAGGCAGCAAAGCACAACACGTTGCAATGCAAGAGAGTGTGTGTGTGTGTGAGTGTGTGTGTGTGTGTGTGTGTGTGTGTGTGTGAGTGTGACCTGGGTCATACAGTATTTGCAAATTCTTCTTCCAGAGGAGTTTAGCTCACTTATCTGGCGCTGCGTGCCAGACTGACGGGACTTTCCCCACACAAGCAGATACAAAACACGCCAGAAGGTTTAAAGAAAAAAAAAAAAAAGTCTTTTAAGGTTATTTTAATGAACTCTTCTCAAACTCAGAACCATTATGTTACGGTGTTTGAAGACAGGCAGAAACAATGATTTGCGAATACTTCTTGACCCGTGTTTGATGATCTCTTCTCTCGCTGTACTTTTAGGGGCGGTGCGAGGATAAAAATTAACAAATGTTGTAATTATTAACATCAGTTCTAACGGATGACAGAGCATGAACAGTGACGTTTCCAATCAAAATCAATTTGAACAACGTGAACTCAATTCTTTCCCAGCATGAAGGGATCTTTAATAGAAAAAAAAACAAACGGATATCTCTCTGTATTACAAGGAGCTTTTTAAAAAACAAATCTAATAAAAATGTTCACATAGAAGTCATTTGCTACAGTAATGTGAGGAGCTGCAGTCCAAGAAACAGGTTGACAGGAAGACGGGGAGGATAACAGAGAGGGAAAATAAATAACTGGACTGTAAATGCGTACCATACCGAGACAAAGATCATTGCACAGTGTTAGTGTTTAACTGGAAGGTGGGAAAATAAGACAGGAAAGGGAAGCGATGAGGAAGAGGAGGTAAAAAAAAGTTCTCCAAGTCCTCAGTTGTAAGTTCTGTTGTTTTTTTTCTCTCTTGACATGGGGACAAAATAATAAAAACACAAGAACAAAAACCGATCAGCGTGTAGCGCAGCTCAAATAGTCCGCTCCTGTTGCTCCTTTTCCTTGTTTGACAGAACCAACAAAGCCTCTGATTGGTCGAGAGAGCACCAGTAATATTAGCATCAGGTAGGAGGAGTCAGTCAATCGATTGAGTCGTTGGGGCTTCTCTCCTGATTCGTTATCAAGCGTCACTCCGCTGAAGAAAAGCGAGGAGGAGGAGGTATAATGATGATGATGATGATGAGGCACTGATTGGGTTTTTAAGGGGGTGAGGTGTGTGTTTGTGTGTGTGGTAGTGGGGGAGGAGGAGGTCAGGGTCTATGCGTAGATCTCTGTGGTGGGGGCTTTCTTGTAGATGGGCTTCTTCCCCAAATCATAGCTGCCCTCGTCCTTCTTCTTCATGCGGTAGATGAGGAGGAGGATGAGGAGAACGGCGAACATCAGGCCGACGGCGCCGCCCGCGATCAGAGCTGGAAGAAACCAACAAACGAGTACATTTAAAAAAAGGTTTCATAGACGAGATTAAAACATTAATATATCAGCACCATGTGACGTGTACTGACCTGCGAGGACCTCCGTCTTGTTAAAGATGCTGTCGTCGCTGGCGTGTGACATGAGGACGTTGGACGGGAGCTCCTCGCCGGGCTCGGGCTCGTTCTTCAGCAGGGGGATTTCGTTGCTGTTCTGGACGATTTCCACCTCGTTGACGGCCGGCTGCTCAGGGCGCCCCTCCTCTGGGATCTTGTTGTCGTTCACATCAGGCTGAGGATGAAGAGAGGGATTTTAAAAAACGCCATCCTGCCGTCTCGGTACGCACAAAGTCAACAAACTGAACCCTGAGCAACAGTACCCCATTATTCTACGGTTTAAGATGAAATCAAATCTCACAATCTAGAAATGTCTTACCTTAGCTGAAGGCTTGGACTCTCTTACAGGAGACTCTGTTGTTGCTGTGGAAAGAAGAAAATGTATTATTATTTTATAATCTTTAAAACTGTTTTATATAAAGTCCATTAAAATGTTACTTAAAGCAAAGACTGACCTCCGTCACCAGATCCAGAGGACTCGTCGTACTCATCCTCGTCATCGTTATCGTAGAATTCGTCGATGTCTTCGTAGTCATCATCGTCCTCCTCGTAGTATTCTTGGTCGTCTTCATCGTCTGTGAAGCGGAAGTCTGAGCTGTGCGGGGAGTCTCCTGATGCCTCCAGGGTGTCACGTTGTGTTGACGTGGCGGCCGTCTGTGTGGTCTTCATGGGCATCCATGTCTCCGTCTCCCTCACCTGCTGGGACACCAGAGACAGAGAAGGGGTTAGAGGGATCATCAGAACCATTCGGATCCATCCTCCGAGCACCGTGGATAACTCTTCCAAACCTCGTGGCAATGCATCAGATAGTTGTAGAGATATTTCAGTCTGGACCAAAGTGGTGGACAGACCAATCGGCAGAGCCCAGGCGCTGTAATCATACCTAGAAACTATCATTCGCCTCCAAACAACAGGTAACCAGGAATCACCTGGAGGATCTAAACCACAGACGAGACACAAGTCACTGATCTGCTCAGGAGGTGCAATCAGAGCCAAAAGCAGAACACTCAGTCCAAGCTCTGAATCTGAATCCCCAGCCACAGTCCCACCAGAACCGTCCACTACACCACATTAATGTGTGTTAACGTGCTTACAGACAAACAGGATATATAATCACACATCCACGTCTCTTCCTGCCGTCCTGAAGCCACACAGACAAAAACAGAGGTTTGGGAAAGAGAAGCCACTATTAGAGGGCGACAGCTGCTGTGGAGTTAGTCTCCACCTGATGTGACCAAACAGTCAGTTCGATCATTAAAACATATAAAAGCAGCAAATGTTTGGAACCAGAGAATATCTTGTGCCAGTTTTGCTTATTAAAAAATGTATTTAGAGCTGAATCCATTAGTCCACTGACAGAAAACTAGAATATAAACTAATATTTAAACTCCAGCTGTACAATTTAAAAGTTTCCCAGTTGGGAGCATTTGTTGCTTCGACTTTTGGTCAAACAAAGCAAACAATTTAAAGACATCTTTGCAGGCTTTGTGATGATCAGCAGCGATTAATAGTTGGCAGATAAACCAATAATTAAAATAATCAGAAAGGGGACTTCCCTAAAGCGAGTCCAGGGTCTAATCACCATGAAGCTTAACACAATGAAGACACATCCACCTCCTCTAATCTCTTTAGCACACTTAATTTCATTGACCATTTGCTCGGTAAGCAGCGTGAATGGGATTAAGACACACACCTCCATCAGCCTAATTGTCACTGCCACACACACACACACACACACACACACACACACACACACACACTACGGAGAGATGGGGAGGTAAAACGAGGTGAGAAAAGCTGAACAGCAGGTCCTAAACTTGCTCACTGAGAAGCCTTAAAGTCTTTCTGATGTTTCTCATCCACACTGAATCATCCAGAAAACTCCAAACAGCAGCTCTTCACACCTTCTCCTCCAATCTGCTCTCCTTCTTTTCAAAGTAGAGACAAATGACACTGCGTCTTTCACTCTATCCGTGTGGATACAATCTAAAACTAGTGAATACCTTTACGTCTTGTTGAAAACATTTTAATCCCGTCAGGCTGTAAATGAATCAACATAGAGCTGAAACAAGTTGTAGAGGAATGATCCAGAACATTAGTTGTATTTAAAACGAGCAAAAATGGAACAAAACGTAAATATTTACTGCTTTTTGATTTTAATTGTAAAAGCAAAGATTACAAATATTCTCTGGATGAATTCTTAAAGCTGCCTTTTTGTTGAAATGTGTTAACAGACAAACATCTATAAAACATCAGCTTGAGCTCTGGGAAGTTTTGTTTTTAATTAAGACTCAATGATTGATCCATTAATTGACCTTTCTTAAGTCCCGCCCCTTTTTGCTCCATGCTCTAATTACAGTTGAGCAAGCCTCAGTCCACTTCCTGTTTTCCTGTGAAGGTGATGTTGTTAACCAGATCTGTCTGAGAGCTGATCACATTGGGACAGAGACAGACAGACAGACAGCACACAAGCTCTTTTTCAGTGAAACTTCAGTTTACTGAGAACAAAAGCTGACCACAAATCACAGTGGAAACAAGCCTGGGCATCCCACAACATCCACACACATCCACACACACACATCCCCACACACACACACACACACACACACACACACACACACCACACACACACACACACACCTCTGCTGACATCATGAGTTCTCCTCATAATTACTTCCATCTGAGTGTCGTATGGCGGGGGTCTTCATTTTAAGGGTTAGCTGGTGGCTAAGCCTGCCCCGGGCCCCTGAGCATTATATGTGTGTGTTCTCAAATACTTGGCATAGTAACGATGTGTGTTTGAAGGTAATCCCCTCTGCCTGTAAGAGTAGCCCGTATGAGCAGGAGGAGGGGAGGGAAGGCCCCATTGTGACTGCACAAGGGCTTCAAACAAGGGCGGCCATTTTACTGTGATTCCTCTCAGCACCAAGGTGGGCCGATGAAGACTCTGGTCTGACAGTCTCTCTCTTTATTCATGTCCATTCTGTCTCGTCCAAGCTTTATTACTCATATATAAGAGATGATCATATTTGTGTTTATTTTCCTCCTTAACACAAATATATGGATATATTCTTTAATCAAATCATCATTTTTTTCAAATGAAGCTACTCCACAATCTCTCCACATCACCCCTGGCAACCATAGGAGTAACCCCTGGGGTACAAGTAGTCCTGGTCGGGGACCACCGCTCTATTATGTCCCCATTTAAACCCTATACATGGACACGGGGGAGCTGTGATCCTGTGTGTGTGTACCTAATCCTAAGCCTTAAAATGGTGACTACTGGCTCTTCATTTCCTCGCTGCCATTCAGATGGAAGTCGACTGCTGCTGCTGCTGCGTGCAGGAACAAGCCCTCTGCGTCACTTTACCGGAATTGCGCTCATTCAGATGATAATATGGATTCATGTGAGTGACTGTGGGTGCCAGCGTGAGTCATATTCATATAGGAACACTTTACATCATTCCCTGGGGTAAATCCATTCCTTCTGCCACCATTACAGCAGTCTGTTATTTTACCTGAATCACTCAGTTGGAAAAAGGTGATGCAAAGGAAAAGTATGTTTGGAAAAAGTATGAAAAGAAAAGTTAATTTTACATCAAAGTCAATATTCATTCTTTATTTAGCCATTATTTAAAACAGTATCGATCAATCGACCATGTATGAACTATTTTGATAACGTATTAACCATTTTTTGTCATTTTGTCAGCAGAATAAATATCTTCGGGTTGTGGACAAAACGAGACAGAGATAAACATTTACCATTTGTGGACATTTTATAGACCGAACAAGTAATGGTAAAAATAATTTACAGATTTAATTGATAATGAAAAGAATTGTCCTATACAGCCCTCCGTGAGTGTTGCCTTGCCTGAAAAAGGGGCTTTAAGTGACACCTACTGCACTCTGACTCCAGATGCATAAAGTGGGCAGAGGAAGCAAACACCTCTGCTACAGAAAAGCTTACAGCTTGTTGCCTCAACTTCCACGCAGAGTTTGTCTGATAAGCAAGAGACAACAGGTTCAATACCCAGAAAGGACAATATGTTCCCTGTCAGCGTCCTGGAGTGTCAATAAACCCCTTCCTCCTGGCTGCCCCTGACCTTTAAACCCCCCTATGGTGAAATGTGGACATCCATTTGTGTCCTGGAGAGACGTGCTAAAAGAAACTCCACCATTTGCAGCCTGGTGGGCTCTGAAACAACAGCACACTGTCTCACAGGCTGAGTGAGACCTGTCCCAACAGGCCGGGTTTATACAGCGAGACTGCAGAGGAACAAAGAGATCAAACGCACGAGGATTCTTCTTCTGCTTTAGTAATGATGGCTGCCACTGAATTTACTATCAGATGTAGTAGGATATTCCATCTTTACTATATTCTCCCAGGAAGCGAAGCCAGGATGGGATCCAGGCCAAGCCCCCAGTCTGCCTGGATAAACATGAGCTCAATCCAAGAATGTAATCTGGAACAGCAGACCCACAAGACTTCGGATGGAAGCGCTGTGTTACACATTTTACACCAACCGGCACAGACTGGTGAAGACAAAGCAGAGGTTATGTAACCAACATGGAAATCAGCTCCCACTCTCGTGATTTTACTGAACGAGGGCCGGTCCCATCAGCCTGCTTCAGAGGCTGCCTGCTGGACTTTGGGGAACTAATTACAAAAAAGGACATGCAAGGAATATTTTAGGGGGATTTTGTATTACAAATACAACTTTTTACAACTTTAACATTATTCCAATCAATTTTTAAGATCATTAGGGATGCACTAACAACAATACCAGACTGATACTGTACTCATAAAACCAAAACTCCTACACCACAGTGTGATGTTACATAACCTCCTATAAGTTGAGCATGTAGGCGGAGAAGAAGCAATGATTTATTTATTTATTTTTTTTATTAAACCTCCTGTATTGATTCTAAAAGAAATGATACTCACAGAAATATTAAAATAAATGTACAGTTTAGCCAGGATTCCTTCCTTTAATGCTACAAGTACACTATCAGCATCCCGTAGGACCACTGCCACGTACAATCTCAGGAGAAATAGTCACGCCCTCATATGTGTTAACAATCACGGGCTGGGCAACACCAACTCCGGCTACGTGCTTTAAAAGCAGAGCGCGCTGTGGTTCAGAGCGAGGCCACAAAAGGCTAACCCAACATCCTGGAGGAAGGACTGACTGACTTCATGTACAGTAAAAGCACAATAGCACATGACGAGTGAAGCTTTTAACAAAGAGAGCGGAGATCCTAAAAGCTCATAATTACCATCTACTGCTAACCACTGATTTCAGTAGGAACCCAAAGCATTAGGCTTGGAAATATTGTGTCATTTGAGCAAAAATCTAAATCTTATTTCAAAGCAAAACTCTTGATTTAAAAGTTGGTCAACCACATTATTTGTCAGCCACTTTAAAAGCCACTTATGACCCAAACAGATCACCATTGTCCTCCCATCACTGATTCACAGCCTCATTTATTCTGCCTGATGTGTGACAGCTGATGAGCAGCCGGATGTGGATTTCAGCCAAAACAAATGGATTTAATGGAGAGAAATGGAAAATAATATTTCAGTTTGTTGTAGTGACGCATTCCACGTTTAGCATTTAGTCTAGTTTTGTGAACATGAACAGAATAGACCACAGTGCAAAGCATGAAGGAGCCAGCCAGTAAAAATATTAGGATTTCAA